CCTGAAAATTGAGTGAGTTAATTGCATTATGTTTTCAATGAGGATCACTTATACAACCTGGCTTAGGTATACGGAAACAAGTCACATGGTAACTGAGGTAAACCTCTGTACCGTGTCTAAAGTTTCATTGTTGTCCTTTCCCTGGCTTTGTGAAAGAGGCAGGGGTTCCCTGAGTAGAGGAGGCTTTCTTATGTATCTTGTTCAAGATCCTGTTTATGCTGAAAGGTCTGGTAACTGCCTCATCACCTTCTCCTAATCTTGGTCTTTTGTATGTCTTTTTACCACTGCAATATTTGCTTCATGCTACTATGGTGAGGGAAGGGAAATATGTCTGACTGAAAGAAGTGGCTCTGCTTCAAGATGGCCGCCACTTCTAAATATGGAAACATGATCTCGGAGTTTGAAACTACTGTGGCTCTCTAAAAGAGCACCTAGCAGAATATGAGAGTCTAAGTATTCAAATACAATTACTGCATTTGATATATTTGTCAAAGAAGTTACACCTATGTTCTTCACTTCCAAATAAAGTTCTTGAGAGGTCTAACAAACAGGATTTAGATGAAGCAGCTTATTGAGGGTACAACACTTTCACTCCTAACTATAACAACCCGGTACTTTAAGCTTTACTTGATATCCATATCTGTAGTCTCTGAAGAACATGAATACTCTAGGCTGTAGTACTGCCTTCATGCATGCCAAGAAGTATCCTTGACAGCCTGCTTTCTTTTAGGTCTTTCATAAGAAATGTATGTTGGTGTGCTTGTTTCAGTTCCTTGATTCAGCCCTTTTTGCCCTTTTGTTGGGACCCAAGACAGAGCATGTATTTTGTGGACACTGACTTTCCTTGTTTTAGTGACTTCAATTGTTGTATTTACTTGACTAGGTGAGCTGCATTGTGGATTGCTACACCCTCATTCTAGTTGAATGTGGGAAAATGGGTGCTTGGACTGAGAGTAAATATTTCTTCTAGAGTCTAAGGTAGAACCTGAAACTTATTGAGGGAATGGATAGCGGCAAAGGACTGTGCACGCGCACGTGTGTTTGTGTGTGTACAGGAACTGAAATAATCTTAAAGTCTATCTTAGCTTCCTCATGCAACTACAGGTATGCATCAATGCACTCATGTGTTTTAACTCTTTAGAGATTACTGCTGTTGCTATAGTAATATCTGAAATACTGTTTTTGAGCCACAGACTAGCTCAGCTTCTGTGAAGAAGCAGTATTTTGATACTGGTCCCTGTCAGAAAGAGGTGTTGCTTCATATCAATTGGCAAAATAAATGCTGGCTAAAAAACCCTAATTGCCTAGAGGTTATAGCATGGGAGATATAATCCAAAAGGAAATACAGTCTCAGCAGTTTTTCTTTCTTGGCTGTTACATCTTGCTTTTGTTACAGGTTTTTTATGAACTAGTATCTCTGACAAGTTCATGCAAATACTTTTTTGTTTGTTTGCTTAGCTGGCTTCTAACTCCATAAGAAATTTCATTCTCTTGATGTTGAAAGGTATTCCTCAACTATGATGATTCTGACTCTTTCAGCAAATATTTTACAGGGTATTTTTGTAGTTAGAGTCACGTACAATTTGTACAGCTCAGAGTACTCATTGTTCTAATACGTGGTTTATGGAACAGTACTTCTGGAACTAGGCGGGACTTGGTTTCTGTCCTGCTCACTTGCCCTACCTCCACTGGGGAATCTGCTAATTGTTTAATGAGTGTTATCTACAGTTCTTCTGTTTGTGTGAGTCTGAGACAGGGTAACCCTACTGGAAAGGAGCTGCAGGCCTGCTAATGCAATTGCCTAGGCTTATTTTACAGACAGCCTATTCTCAATGACAATTTTCTAATCCTCAAGAAAACTGTATCAGTACCAAATGTTTATACTGAGGTTGATTTTATTCTTCTGTATTATCTGATGATGAGGGGCAGAATAGCCCCTCATTCTTGTAAGATCTGTCTTTGATTACAGAATCTCAAAAAAAATATTTTTCCAAATTGTCCCATGAATTCTTATAATTAAGGCAAATTCACAGTGAATAGCTGTACTGCAGAAAGATACACTAGAAGAGTTATCAAGTATCCAAGTAGTCCTAACACAGCGGCAAGCAGGTGATGGCTCTGAAGATGGGGGGAAATGTAGGCAGGTTTTTCCTGTGTGGGAATTCTATACAGCTTTTCCAGACAGAGAACACACTCTCAAGGTCTTGCCTCCTTTGTCAGATCTCAGCAAAATCTTTTCAACACATTCACTGGAATGTTCCCTGAATGCTCTTTGAAAGATTAGTAATCAGCTCATAATCTTCCTAATTCTTGCTGCAAAGACACCTGCAGTCAAATGGGTAGAAACTAGAGTTGTCTGAGAACTGCTGCAGGCTTTTCTTCTCAGAGGATTAAGACCTATTAGTTCTTGTACATATTCCATCAGAAGTGGTGTGTTGGGTTTTGTTTATTTTTTTACGCACAGAAAACTGTAAGAGGAATTTACAAGGATTTTTTTTCTTTAATGCTTACATTTCAAGTGAGAAGGGGAAGAATGATTAAACTTGATTAAAGCCAACTAGGGTGTGGCTTTGAGATGTCCTTTTTGACTATTATTACAATGACTTCAATGGGAGTATGCCCTGTGGCAGCTTGTAAAAGACCAAGCAAAACTCAGTAATGGCTCTGCCACTCACAGGGCTTGTATTCAGACTTCAGTAGCAATTATCATGCCTTAGCTATCTTGGTAAGCAGTGATTTGATGTAGTTATCTTTTCCGTGATTATTTTAGTATGCATCTTTTTTCTGACTAGAGAAAGGTCATTGATAGATACAGCCTTAAATCTGCGCAAAAGAATATAAATGAGCTAAAGGACTTGCTGGAGAGGAAAGAATACAATAATATAAATGAAGCCTATAAAGAACTAATTTTGACAAAGTGTTGAACTAGACATTAATCTTGAACTTGATGAGCATGTTGACTGAACCTCTGACATGTGCAGCTATGTCTTCTACACTTAGAGTGACTACTCATGACTACAAACTGCACATTAGTGAGATTTCCCCAACCTAACCCTGAAAGTATTGATGCTATAGTCCATTAACAATTTCTACAAGAACATAAGGGGTTGTGCTAAGTTTTTATTCTCTGTAGCTAGAACTGGCAGGGCATAACTGCTTATGTGTGTGGCTTCTATAGAACGCCATAACTGGTACTCATCTTTAAGGGCCATCTTCCTAGAACTTGGAGACCTTATGTGTTAGTTATCCTACTGATATACTATGTATCCCATAGTATTCTGTTAAATAATACTGGTTAAAAACCAGTTTTGAAATGGAGGTAGTATGCTGCTCTAAATTAAAGAATATCTCAAAGGGGTTGCCTTTGGAGTTGAAAAATAGAAAGGGACAAATGTCTTCAACAGAGGATGATAACTTGCATGATACTTGCAAACAGTATAAAAAAAGATTTCAAGTGGAGCTGTGTGGCCAGACATGACTGTACCGTGAACGAAATACAAAGCATGTACGGGCCTGTCTATTGCCTTTGCTGTACTGGTATATTTCATGTGCTTTAGATCAGTCCTGGAAAAATAATAATACCACTAGAAGTATCTTTCAACAAGTTGCCAGTGAAGAAACTTATTCAAATGCAACAGGAGTAAGGGAGAACAGTGTGTCTGTGGTGCATTAACTGAAATGACTGAATTTTGCAGGACAGATGAACATATTTGTGTTGGGTTCCCTTCCCCTTTTTACTTAGCTCAGCTGGGTAAAAATAGCAGATACAGCAGTACAGTCTATGTAAGATTAATAGGGACACTTCAGTAGTTGGCCTACACTAAAAGCCTGTACTTCTGCTTCTTCTTAGACTGAAGGAGCTGGCTTATCTCTAGACTGTATTCTCAACTTGCAAAAAACTGTTAGACTGTATCTACCACCTAGTCATCTGAATCTGTTCAATTCTCTTTCTCTCTTAATCTGTCTCTGATTCTAATGAAAGCCAGTAAATCAAAACTACATGTATTTTTTAACAAAGGCAGTGACAGGAAAGGAATTGGTAGGAAGTGGATATGGGTATCATGCCTTTTAATAGATCTTGACCTCGGCTGGCAGAATGAGGAGAAGTGGAAATTGGTAGATTTTTAGCAAAGAACACAATGGTGCTATGAACTAATCATAGAACAAGGTGGGGCAGGGTAGTCTAACAGACATCAGGGAACTGGCCGCTTTGTTAACTTTCTTTGCAAGCACGACCCAGCGTGGTGATGAAGCTGCTCTTCCACAGAGCCTGGCCACAAGGATTTGAGGGACTGACTGTAGGTGCACATTTTTCCCAGACATCAGGTACTGAATGCCTGGAGCCGACTGACGGCATCGGAGTGGCCGGGTCTGCACGCAGTGCTTCCCGAGGCCCCTCCTGACAGGAGCACCGCCCGCGCTGCCCTTCCCTGGAGCCGCTGTCCGGGCGGTGCGGCGGATGCCGGTGGGAGCGGATGGCGCCTTGACAAAATCAGACCGGCAGCGCTGGTTCAGGTGTGCTGAACCGGCTCGAGATGCCGCTCAGGTAAGCCGGGGACTGGAGGGAGACCGCAGGAACGGCTGGGGGAAGAACATTTGCTGCGCCTCGGCCAGTGCAGCTGATCACGGTGGCGCGGAGCCGCAGCGTGGCTGGAGGTGAGGTGGCAGGACAGAGGAAGCAAGGGGCCTCGGCATGAGTTTGGTACGACTCTCCGCCTGCCCCGACCGGGCCAGGCGGCCTCCGACCGCTCCCAGGGTCCGCCGGGAGCAGGACGCCCGCGCTGCCCCGTCCAAGCGGCACAGCCGGCGGTGCGGCGGGGGCGGGAGCCAAGGGCCGGCGGGGCGGGCCCTGCATGCAAACGAGGGGGCGCGGCCGCCAGGCAGCGGGGCGGCCGGGGCGGGAGGAGGCGGCGGGCGGGGATCTGCACGAACCGGGCGGGAGCAGCCGGGCCGGGCTGGGCTGGGCCGGGCCGGGCCCAGCTGAGCGGGGGCGGCCGAGAAGGGCGGGGGGCGGTATCACTGCTGAGCTGTGAGCAGTGGACGGGGCGAGGCGGTCGCAGAGATCCCGGCGAGGCGGGCAGAGGAGCGGGAACATGGCGAGCGTAGGAAACGGCACGGAGGAGAGCGGTGGCGGCGAGGAGGTAAAGGGAGGGCGGCGGCGGCGGGAGGGCTCCGGGCGTGCGGGCAGCGAGCAGCCGTCCCTGCCGGCACGACGGCGGCGGCGGGACGGGCGGGTGGAGGCCCCGCTGCACCGGCCGCCCTGGTCGCCCACCTGCCCTGCGGTGGGGCCGGTGGGCGGCCAGCCAGACAGGGAGAGGCAGGCCCGGCCGCAGGTGGAGCGAGTCGCCGCCGCTGGGAGTTGAGGAAAGTTGTCCCGGCGGCGGGGCCGCGGGCAGCCCCTTCGCGCGTCCCGCGACCCCCGCCTTTGCTTTATTTTTTAATTTATTTTAATTTATTTTTTTTAAATTTCCCTGGTTTTTAATGAAAAAAAAAATTCTTTACCCCCAGTTCCTGCGCTGCTCCGTGCGGTGGTGCCGCGCCACCGCTCCGGTGCGCGTCCCTGCCGGCGGGCGGGCAGTCGCGGAGTTGCGTGGCAGGTGTGCGGGCAGCGGCGACTCCCGGCTCTGCCGGGCGGCAGAGGCGCCGCTGTCGGGGTGGTCCGAGAATGCCCCGTGTGCGCGGGGTCACGGGGCAGTTTCGGTGTCTGGGAAATGCTGGTGAGAACTGTAGTTGATGTAAAATGCGTTTATAATTTCGCCTTTGGGCTTCAAACAGCCCAAACGCGAATCCCTTAAAACGATCGTTTGAACTTGAAGGTTTTTTCCGTGTCCTCTCAGTCTAAAGATAAACAGGAGCAGGGTTCTTTGACAACACCTCTCGGAAACTACTGAGTGTAAGGGATTGTCCTAGACTAACTTTTGAGAAGGGTGTTGCCAAACTGAGGCAGTCTTAACTGGAGGGTGTTTTTAAACACAGTAAATTGCAGTCCTGGCATGCGCGTGTGGGAATATTGACTTGCTTTCTGACTGCGCAGTCTATAATGAATGATTTTAGTGTTGTGTGCATCCACCAGCTTCTTCAGAAAGATTTGTAAGGCATGCTTCTGCCCAAATTCTGCTGAAAACAATTTATGAATCATATGAGTACTTAATAGGTTGGGTTTTTTACAGTGCCCCGTTTCTGAGGCAGGACAGTGTTTCATACAAATATCTACATAGGACTGGGTATGCTATGTAGTTCAGTGGAACTAGCTTGTTCTCATTTAGAAGGTGGGGATATATATTAGCCTGTATTTCAGCACACACTATAAAAGTTTCTACTTCCTAAGGTTATATGTAGTGGTATAACGTGAAGAGGATGTGAAGTGCTTGAGTCTCATTGTGTGCTAGTGTGAATCACTGAAAAATCATAGTGATCTCTGGGGAGTCAAGGTTTGTTTCCATTCTAAGGAGTAGTAGGGGGGTAAACTCTTGCTGCTCTCAGCAAGAAAGTAGTTGGAATTCACAATTACTAAAAGAGGTATTCAGCAACTTTGTTGTAGCCTAGCTACAACCTTGTATGAACAATAGGGAAGAATATACTTCATGGAGTTTGATGTTAAGGGTCAATGCTTTATTAGAGAAAAAGCAACTGCCATGCAAAAAAATTTGAAAGGTAGGCATAAAACCACATAAAACGGAGGTTATTTGAGCAATACTCTACAAAAATTGTAAAGCTTTGTCCAGATGAGCTTGAAAGACCTCATGCTCTTTGCAGAGACTTATGCTTGATTCTGTGGAATCTGAAGTAGACCTATATTGGCAACAGAGAGAGTACTCTTGATTTTTTCCTGGTGAGATCCCAGAGTTCAGGAGGGGAAGGCAGATAGTGGCTTGATCTTGGGGAAAGTCATTGCTTTTGTAGCAGAAATTATCTAGACCACTGTAGACTGCCCTTGCCTACAGGTTCACTATAGTCTCTTTAGTAATAACCTTGATGTGATTTCAGCACTTCATGCCTGTGATAATTGTTTTTAAAGTCTTAGCTTTTTTTTAGTGTTTGCAATGGTTACAATGCTGAGAAACAGAAGTAAGAGAACATTACTATTAGCTTTGTTTTTAAGAGTTGCATGCATCTAAATAATGTTGTTTACATGGAACATGGCAGATGGAAGCTCTGCTTCCTGGTTTAAGTGTACGTGCTTAGTACTTTATGAACACAGCTTTTAGCATAGAATTTTGCTTTGCAGGAACTTGTGAATACTTCTTCACCCCAGAAGCTTTGAAGAAGGATATGTTGAGCTAAACCTTGAAGTTGTTTCCTACTTAACAGGAAATAGACCAGCAAGAATCCTGCTTCTAAAGTCTAAGGATAAGGTACCAGGTAGCTGCCCCCTGCTGTAGAGAGTCTTTGAATACAATTTGTCGGTTTCCTTATGTTTCTCACAGCTAAAGGAAATACCAGATACCATGTTTATATATATTTGATTTTTTTTGCTGATTTACGTCTCATAGTCCTGCAGCTGTGGCTTTCTGGTGGGAATGGCGAGAAAGTGGCATGAAGTGTAAATAAATAATTGGATTCTTTTTAACCCAACTAATGCAAGTGTAGTAGTCTGTTGTTGTTGTTTTTTACTTAAAGGAAAAGAAACCCACCTTGAGGAACTGGAGACCCAAGACTAAGAGACTGTGTTAATGAGATAGTGCTATGAGTGTGCCCACCTTGGAAAAAAAATATTTGTTAAACTCAGGATTTTACTGTGCAATGTCGATTCCCTAGTGTTGGAATGTGTGTGGTCATTCTCTACTAGGAAGCAGTTTCCTGGCTGCTACGTGGTCAGAGTATCCACCTGAGGTGTGCCCAGTTGTGAACTCAGAATGCGATATGGTATCAATACTTAAACCACTATATGACTGAATTCACCCCGTAAAATAACTCGTACTGGTATTCCTTTAGAACGGGTTGCAAATCTAGGACAGATACACTTAACTTTAAGGGCAAAGGCACTTCCAGCCACTGCAGAGTCTTCAAGCAAAACTTTGTCTTCTCCCCATCCATCCCCACCCCCACTCCCCCCGCACTGTCTAAAGATTACTTAAAATAGCGGGCCAGATCTGCTTCACATTAAGTTCACTCTTTGCTGCCCTGGTTTTTCAAAGTCTTAAAGCCAGCTTAATTGGTTACTTGGGGATTCCCTATAAATTAAAAAAAAAAAACATGAAAGCCACAAACCCAACCTGGGCTTTTGTGCATGTGAATGTCAGACAGAAGGGTTTATGATCGAGAAAGATCTAAGTGCTAAAAAATTCCTTGTTTGGCCAAAGGGAGCCAGACTAAGGATTATACACAGATCTGAAGGTGATCTGGTGGTTAACTCTAAGGCTTTGTCCTGACTTTGGCTGGGATAGAGTTAATTTTCTTCACAGTAGCTAGTGCAGTGCTATGTTTTGGATTCAGTATGAGAATCCTTGGAACCACATGTTGATTTCTAGTAGTTGCTAAGTAGTGCTTACCCTAAGACAAGGACTTTCTCTGTGTCTGGTGTGCTGCCACCAAGCAGATGCACAAGAACCTGGGAGGGAGACTGGCCAGGACAGGTGACATGAACGGGCCAGAAGGATATTCCATACCCTCCAGTGTCACGGCTCGTATATAAACTGGGGGAAGTTGGGCTGGAGGGGCTGATCGCTGCTTGGGGAGAGACTTGGTATCAGTCAGGGGATGGTGAGCAATTGTATTTTTCATCACTTCTTTTTCTTGGATTTTATTTCTCTCCTCCCTTTCTATACTATTATTATCATTAATTTTACTCTATTTCAGTTATTAAACTGTTTTTATCTCAACCCATGGGGTTTACGTTTTTCCTGATCTTTTTCCCATCCCATTAGGGACAGGGGAGAGTGAGTGTCTGTGAGTTGCTGAGTGGCGTTAAGCCATGACAGTCTTTTTTTGGTGCCCAGTGCAGGACGTGATGAGTTGAGGTAATCACAAATCTGACTAGAAGATGTTAAAACAAATTTGTTAGAAGCAATTTTTATATTAATGACATGGGAGGAATACAGAGGTGCTACTCCCCACTCTGGGGAGAAAATTTGTGCAGCCAAAGCTCAGCTGGAGTTGATGCTGCCAGAAATGTGGAGGGACAATAAAAAGACAAGATTTTTTTGATATGCCAGTAGCAAAAGGCGGTGCAGAAAAGACATCGGCCCATTACAGGATGAAGACGCTCACCTCACAAACAGGGACACAGACAAGGCAGAGGTGTTCAATACTTTCTTTGCCTCCATCTTAAACACTGAAGATGGGCTAAGGGTGTCCCATTGCCCTGAGCTGGAGGGCCATGGCTGTGAGAATGATAAACTCCCAGCTGGATCCCTGTAGTCTATGGGCCTGGGTGGGATTCATCCAAGACCACTCAAAAGAGTTGGCTGATATCATTGTGAGGCTTCTCTCAATGATTTTTAAATGGTCTTGGGAGTCTGCAGAGGTTCCAGTTGACTGGAATCTGGCTAATGTCCCAATTTTCAAGAAGGGCAGCGTGGGTGACCCTGGAAACTACAGGCCTGTCAGTCTCACTTCAGTGACTGGTGAAGATATGGAGAGGATTATTCTGGGAGTTATTGGAAAACACCTGAAGGACAATGCAGGCATTGGTCAGAGCTTGGCTTCATGAGGAGAAAGTCCTACTCAGTACCCTCAAAGGGAAAAGATGGTCTCTGGATCTGACAACAAGGTGACTAGCAGTGTGGGTACTCCAACTCCAGTGACAGACACTGCAGCTGGACCAACCCGTATCTGTATCAGTCGCTCCTATACATAAGAAGAAATGGACACAGAAGTCATTTCACAGTAAAGGAAAATGAAGCAGGGCCATCGCAAGACCAGGTGGAAGAGGCAGAACAAAAGATAACAATTCGATACCTATCCCTGAGTGAGCTGTGGGTTTGATATGGGAGAATTTATCTAAGCAACCAAGGAGATAGAATATAAGTCTGTACTAGAACAACAGAGTTTAGAACAAGTTAATTCTAACTATAGTATACACAGCAGTAAAGTGCAGGTTATACCTAGATGTGCTGATAGAAAGCAAGATGTTCCAATAGAAAACATTGAACAGATTGGCTCAAGATACTGGAAGTTTACATGTACATTGCATAGATGA